AGAGGGCAGAGGGTGTAGGAAGGTGGAGGTTAAGTTTGGGAGGAGCTGGGGGAGAAGTGGAAAGTGAAGATAACCAAAATACATTATATAAAATTCTCAGAGAATTAAAAACGTCTTTTTAAAAATAATTCTTTTATTATTCACTGAAGATTGTAAAAATAAAAGTTCACCAAATGAAAGAAAGGCTTTGGGCATCCAACAGTCAATGTACTACAATGTTCATGTGAGAGCTAGGGTGATGGCTTCATGGTTAAGAGCATTGGCTCCTCTTCAATTCCCAGCACCCACATGGTGACTCGAAACTTCAGTCCCAGAGGATCTGATGCACACTTCTGGCCTCCATAGGCACCAGGCATGCATGTAACATATATATCAAACAAAATACCCATACACATAATACATTTTAATTATTATAATTTTAAAAAGATCTTCGGGCAAAGAGCCAATGCATGGATGAGACTCAGGCTCTGAGGAGCTCTGTGCATCTTGCCCAGAGTCTTCCAAAGGACTAGGAAGCCATTCAGGAAGAGCCTGCTTTGTTTGGCTTGGTTCAACAGTTAATCTTGCAAAAGAAGGCAACTGAGTTAGGTGAACCAGAGATCCAATCTTAGAAGGCCAACAGTGCAAATCCAAGTCAGCCGGCCAAACAGAATCTTGGCTCACCCACCAGCCATTCTAGACCCCTGTTCTGACATTCATAAGTGGGATGATAGTTAGTAGGTATTTGATAGAACCCAGCTGGATGCCTGGAACACAACAAACACAATTTTCAGAGTGAAGAAAAACAGGCAACCGATACAAAAGCCAACTATCATTAGGTTTTGCAGAAAGAGAAGTCAAACAACTTTTATTTTCTTTGACATACTTGGCTGCTTCATTAGTTGCCTGGTTCTGAGAAACTAATATTCAGAGATACAGAGATATAGAGGAGAGAGAGAGAATAGGTAGAGGGGGAGGGGAAAAGAGAGAGGGGGAAGGAGTGGAGAAAGGGGGAGAGAGACCAGGATTCCTCTGGGCCATGAACCTTTAATTGTCAGTCAGCACCTAACTGATCTACCCAGGCCACAGCTGGATAGTCAGTACACCCCTTTCACTAAGGCCAGGAAATCCCTTTCCAACTAAGCAAAACTTTTCAGCTCCTGTAGTCTATACATTTAATTGCTCAGAGCACCAGTTGTTAAGCAGGTACATTTTCAACTCTACAGAAAATCTTCAGGGAGGGGAAGAAGAGGCAGGGGCTAGACCATTCTGGCTCGATGGGGGTTACTCCTCAGCCTCTCTCCAGCTTGTTTCTATGGAGAAAAAAAGAAGTGAATATGCTCCAACATTTCAGAGGTAGAAAAAAGCACCTGTTTAGGCCACAAAAGTTTACTTCAGGGATGGGAAGATTTCTGAGTGCTCACAATTCAAGCCTGAGGCCAGAGTTCCATCCCTTAGATGGGAAAAAAAAAATGGGTGTGGTGGTGTACACATTTAATGCTGTGGCCGGGGAGGTGGAGGCCTTGCTTCAAGAAATAAGGTAGAGAAGACAGAGGAAGACACTTGTCACATCCTCTTGTCTCGGTACACAAGTGCACATGCACAAAATGTATTTCAGGCTAGGCATGGTGGTACACACCTATAATCCCAGCACTCAGAAGACAGAGGCAGATAATCTGTGTGTGTTCAAGGCCAACCTGGTCTACATAGAAAGTTCCAGGCCAGCCAGGACTACACAGTGAATAAATCTCTTTTCCTTCCCACCCCTTCTCTCTTGGGGGGTGTCTATCTCAACCACAATGCATCCAAGGAATTCTCTAAGTAAATATAGGACCTGTCTGGGTATAGCGACTCTCACCTGTAATCCTACCACTTGAGAGGCTAAGGCAGAAAGATGGTCATAAGATTGAGGCCAGCCTGGGCTAAATAATGAGTTCTAGGGCTGAGTTCAGACTAATACTGTCTAAAAGTAAATAAATAAATAAACACATAAATAAATACATACATAAATTAAAGAACCTACACACTATCACTGTGGGTGTTAAAGGGCACTAAAGGCCAGCCTGAAGGACTGGCTACTACAAGCTAATGTCAAGTTTGGGGGCTGCTCTATAAGGGAAAGGAGTGGAGCCAGGAGGGACCTGAACATACCTGTATGAAGCGTTGAAGGTATGAGAGATTAAGATTGGCGGCATTTGAGATTACAGAACTGTGACACTAAAATAATCATTCACTGGGCTCGGGGACCTGCTTCAAAAAGAGGGACCTACTGCCCTGCGCACCTGTGGGTACTCACAGCCGACTATTTCTGTTTGATAGGAAAGTCCCCTAGTAAGGGCAGAGTAGGGAGAGAGGGATGGAGGGAGGCAGCAATGAAGTTAAGGGCTGTCTCCAGCCAGTGGCAAGGCACAGGGAAGAATGGGGAGAAATACATAGAAAGGAAGAGAGACCCAAGGGAGGAGGCCACTTTCCGAGGCCCCCAAAGGATTCTTAGTTACTATTCCAAAAGAGGAAAAGACTAAAGCACCACTGTTCTGTCACACACAGGGGGGCAGACACCCGGAGTGATCAAACAAACCCGTGTACCCTAGCCCATGACCTTCCTGCTCCACAGTGGGTTCTTGAAGTTTAATGAAGCCCCCTTTCCAGTCACATTCCTGACTAAGGGTGAGTACTCAACCTGCAGCAGTAGGCTGGGCTCTGCTACACCTGCAGTTAATCTGAGCTTAATATCCAACTCAATTAACAGGTTCCACCTTGTGATCCCAAAGGGTGTGATCCGGTCCGACTCACAGGCTCTCAGGCCTGTCCTGTTAAAGCTCAAATTGCATGCTTCTCTAATTCTTCCAGTTTCCCAGCAAGCTAGAGCTCACATAGAACATTGTTCTGGCTACAGAAAAGAGAAAAACGAGGTTTGGTGCCAGGCGAGCTTGGGCGGAAACGCCTTTAAACCCAAAGCTCAAAAGTTCAAGGCAAGCCTCGACTACAAAGCGAGTTCAAGGTCAACCTAGACTACATGACTACATAGAACCCTGTTTAAAATACCAAAATGATAATAGTAGTAATGTTTCGAAAAGAATGCAGACAGGACGTGGTTTCG